GTCCTTCAAGTTGTTTCTACTTGGTTGTCAACGTCGGATTCCTCGGTGCTCGTGCTTTTCGTATCTTCATCATCATCCTCGTTGCTCAATGTCTCATTGCTTTCCACATCGTCGTCGTCGTCATCATCACCATCATCATCATCATCACCATCATCATCGACACTTGATGTCTCGCTCCTTTCAACATCAGCTTCAGCATCATCCTCATCCCTGAAGCTCGATGTTTCTTCATCCTTCAACACTTGATGCCTCGATAGGAGCCACCCCTTCATCATCATCATTGCTCCTTGACACTTGTGATTCATCTTCGCCGTCCTCCTCTTTGCCCCCTTCATCATCCCGTGGGAAGTGTGTAATGACATATTTAGCGCTTCTAACCATTGGTTGGCCATCTTCTTCCTGACCAAGCTGTAACTCAATAAGTTGTTCATCTGAGGTGACCGTCTGGTAGAGACTAGCCTCGAGGAACGCGATGTCGCATATACGAGCATATGGCAGCGCTCGACGCTTGAGCAGCCATGTGCCGGACTTGCCGGCCGGGGCTACGGCACAGGATGATTCGGCAATCCCACATGCATGTTAGTCGTCACGGCAACGAGATCATCTTGGGGTGATCGCATGCATGAGCACCTTTTTCACCTTAAACTGATCCGGAACCCTGCTAATGACAGAGTCTAGACCAGGGAGGGTCACCGTTGTTTTTTCGCTGAGAAAGGGTTGTGCAAAAAGTAGCTCCGCGGCCCATCGTTGGCATCGGTGCGGTAGCTGTCGGTGGCACCTATGACCATGAGCTTCGTGTTCATGTTGTTGTCGGGGAAGGGAGACCATCTGTGAAGATCATACACTAGTACGGAAGGTTGACGTACGTGCCATCCGAGTGGACGATCCACGGTAGCTGTGTACAGGTCATGCTATAATTCATGCTATAATTGTATTAGCCAGAAACTACGCGGTCGGCGGAATTAAGATGTGCTGCGGGAGGTGGGCCAACGGAGAAGGCTGGGAAGTCGTGGACAGGTCAAGTCGATCGATCGTGCCAAGCTAGCTTTTTTTTTAGGGGACGTGCCAAGCTAGCTGGTGTGGGCAATCGATGCACAAACTTTTTTTTGTCGTTTTGTACGTAGCGTGTCGTTTTTTTCATGGTAATACGTGTCTCATTCATATATCATAAAGATCAAAGTACAAGTCACGTAAAGACCGACATGATAAAACCGAAAAGATAACAGAACAACTCTGAATTTGACACCAACGCCCGTCACCTGCCTCCGACACCATCATAGCAGCCACCAAAGAAAAGAATGACGGATCACCTTCTCACTCGAGCTCGACGCGGCTTCATCGCTGATATGCAGCTTTGCGGACCTCCAAAGTGGCTCACCAAAAGCGAAGCCCTTGTCGTTGAACGAATCAGACGGGGGCAACACCCTGGACACGTCATCAAACTCCAGATCTGACACCCCACCACGACTAAGATGCCCAAGGAGGAAACCATGCCTGCCATCCATGAACCACGAACCCAGCACATGTTCCGTCTTCCAGATGTCGTTGATGCAGACCACAATCTGCATACACTCCCGGACTACCTCCCAAACTCCACACCGACGCTGGAGCAAACGTCGTCGCTACGACGGAGCCCGAGGACACATGTCCACCATGAACATGCCGCCGCCGCCGTCATGCCATCATTGCTTGAACAGACTGGTTTCCAAATCCATCCCCAACTATAGGACTGATGGCCTTGTCAGAAAAGGATTCGAAGAATCTTTATTCAACGCTGTCATCGTCATCGCCGAAGCCAAGACGATGAACAGTATAAAAACCTAAACTACGTGAGAGTAAAAGCGATTCACCGACGACCGAGGTCGCCGGCGGAGGTGAGTCGCCGAAGAACGACACTGGAAGATTGGACTCTCCTGACGGCGGCTAGGGTTCCAGCCGCCCGGAGCGAGATACGTAGGAGGAAAAGGCTTAGCATGTCGTACTTATATACTGGAGTAGTAGCGCCGCGCGCCGCGCGTTGTGGCACCTACGTGGGGACACCGTGGGCATGTACTAACGTTACGTACGACCTGCCAGCAGGACTTGGACAATTGGGTCCCTCGATCACAGCCGAAACTTTCAACCTTCCAGATCGGTCGTTCGTTCGGACTCCGCACCACAGCAAAGCAGCAGATCGGCCGATCGTGTTGGTTCACCCATGGAATCGAGCTCCCGTCCTTCTTCCTGCCCAACGACTGAGCCCGCTTCCGTGCCGTGTGCCATCCATGCTACTTAACCGTGCGCCACCACCATCCCCCGCGGCAGCTGTCGTGGATCGTCTACTCGGACGGCACCTTCGTCACCTTTCCGGCCTCATCACGTTATGCATCGTGGGCTACCCTTCCTTGGGAACACGATCGACCTTCATCTGCGCTACTCACAACACATGGCTCGCCTTCTACCGTACCAACACCAAGGACGGACGATGTCATAGCTACCTCTTGCATAATCCGTTCGCCGGGACAACAGTGCCGCTCCCTGAGCTGGACTCCATCATCGGTGAATGTCTCTTATATATTTCTTCAAGATCCGAAAGGTACTCATGCGGTCCACTGGAGACGATATCGTTGCCGTCACGACCAATAAATGGAACTGCCTGGTCATCTTGTGTCGCCCTTGGAGACCCGGAGCGTTGGTGTCTGCACGGAGGGAGAAGCCATATGCATCTGTTTTTTATATCGCGTTCCATAAAGACGGTGTCTATGGGTTCACTGAGTGCAATGACCTTGTCGTGATGAATCTTAATGAGGATGACAATGGCATCCCCATTGTTAAAGATGTGAGGTATGCTATCAAGCACCTATCTGATGAGGACGAGGAGGAGGAGGTGGTGGAAGAGTATGAAGAAGAAGAAGAAGAAGAAGAAGAAGAAGAAGAAGAAGAGGGAGTTTACATCAACAATGAAGATGAAGAGTACGATGAAGACGGAGAAGTGCTCATCAACATCTAAGATGAAGAGGTGGGGTACAACGAAGTTTCAAGCGTCGATGATGAGAATGAAGACTTTGAAGATGTGTTTTGTGGCAATGACGCATTTAATGATGATATGGAGACCGAGAAAAACAACCTACACAATTGTGAGCACAGACAAGTGTCAAGCAACAAGGACAAAGGAGAGGCAGAGGATGTCGTGGAGCATATTCTAGACGAGTCTGATGATGACAAGACAATACTATGCAGCTTGGAGCTCAAGGGCAAGCGTCACGATGGTGATGAGAAGGTTCCTGATGGCATGGAGCTGGTCGGTTTCCGTTGTGATGACCAAGGGAAAGCAGGGGATGGCACTGAGACCAACAAATATCTGTTTGAGTTCAGTGGCAAGTTGCTTCTAGTAAAACGGCAACAATACCACCCCGACCACTCCCCTAACTATACTCTTCAGGTTGAGGTTCTAGAGGCGGACATGGACGCAAGGATGAGCATGACGTGGCCATTGACCTGAAATCTTGATGGTATCTTCCATGGGTGGGTAAACCAACCTGGTTTTTCTCACAAAAATAGTTATATGACATAAATAGTTTTTCGTTTTTTCTGGTTGAACTTTTTTTTTTTGAGATAGCTCAGCACGGTATATGTTTTTTTCTTGTTCACAACAAAAAGATTTGTGTTAAAATTGAGAATTTGATATATTAATAGGGCCTATTCGCACCCTTGTTTTCTTCATGGCAAGAGACGCGAGTCGACTTGTTTTTCTTGTAGAGACATAAGTGTCGGGGATCAACAATGACAAACCGTCTTCTAGTCGACATAGTGAGATCCATGAATTCGTCTTGATCCGTGGCATTGAGATTCATGCAATGACCGGACCCGCGGTGCCTCCCCTTCTCGTCGTATTCGATGCCAAACGTTGGTCGGGGCACTTGAGGAGGAGGGCGCCGAGGAGAGCAAGATGGAGGAGGTGGACTGAAGGATTTCATTTCATTCCAATGAGGAGGAGAAGGAGATGAGCAGTGTCGTGTCTGCCCATGGGTGTTGTTTCCTAGTTTGGTGGAGTCTGTTCATGTCATCCGAGTGTCAGTGTCGTGTTGACAGTTGGGTCAAATCTATGAGTCGCTTCATGTCCTTTGATAACATTTGAGTTGGCCTAACAAAAGTTGTTGTGTTGGTGGCTGAATGAATTGGATGTTGCATGCATGTATCCGTGAGATGTTGTGTTGTTTCGGGTTGTCAAGTAGTAGTAACTTTGTGCAGAAAGTAACTAGAGCAAGGAACTTTTTCTTTCTTCAGGGATGTCGCTTGACCTTCAGCTTGAGCGGGCATTTGGCCATGCATTCATTCATTCATTCATTCATTAAGGTTAAGTTACAAACACCTCGCATTTATCCATCATGGTCAAAGTTCCACACACACACGCGCGCACAAACGGACAAGACCAAAATGTTAGATGTGCCTCGTCTATTCATTAGTGGTGCGTGGCAGAGCACCAGGAACTTTCCCCAAATCCTCCTCCCCAACCCCTCCTCCCGTGGAGGAGCAGATTCCTTACCCTCCTCCCCAATCCCTCCTACCATGGAGCGCGGTAGGCATATAAGGAGCACCCGCCGCCCCATTCGCCGCCCTTCTGCAGCACAGAACCAACCAAAAGCGGGTTGTAATCACCATCTTCTCTGTTGAATCATAGATGCCCTTGTTCATCATGGAGAGCGGTTTACAAGTTACTGACTCTTTTTTTTTTGCGAGAAACTTCCTATCTATTTAATATGGAGGAGAAGGGGTCGGAGTGCTTCGGCCGAGAACGATGCTCTACTACAATGCAATGCTGGTATCGTTGTGCGACTGAAGGGGAAATCGTGGATGGACCACTGCAAGAGGCATAGCTCGTCGGACCACGAGGCGAAACGGTGAAAGAAGGACTCTGAAATATCCGAGGAGTCATTGAGAAATGCTAACATGGACATAGACATGGACCCATTTTTTTTTTTTGCTGATCTAAAATAAATAAGCGGAAGACCCAAAAGTAAATGGAATTTTACCAGGGCGGGAGAATGGGCCACACCCGGGAGGCATGGGCCCGGCCCAACCACACAACAACGGTCGTCACCCACACACATATGAGCAGTTTCGAATCCGGACGGCGCGGCTCCAAAGTCCAAACAACACAACCCCAAAACAAATCTCAAATCCAAATCCGAATCCACGCCGCGCGACGGAATCCCCTTCCTCCTCCTCTCGCAGCGGACCCGACCCGACCCAACCCCATGGAAGGTGGCGACGCGGCGAGCGACGACCCCATGGACTTCACCTGGACCGCCGGCTGGGAGGCGGCCTGCGACGCCGCCAGCCCCGACCCCGACGCCGCGCCCGCCCCCGCCCCGGCCAACCCGCCGCCGGAGCCGCAGGCGGCGGAGGCGGAGCCCATGATCCTCGTCTCCGGCCCGCGCGTCGCCGTCTCCGGGCTCAGGCAGGCCGACTGCCGCGCAGGTGCTGCTCCCCCTCCCCTTCCCCTTGACTGCTGCGCCGTCGTCCGTCCGCCGTGTCTAGCTAGGTTTCTCCCCTGGGTTACGCCCGTGCGTGCGCATTTCCTTCCTATCCTAGGATTCGCTCGCTCGCTGCTGCCCTTGGCCGTGGATTTGGCTCTCGCGCTCCGTCCGTGAATCAATCGCCAAGTGGATCTGGCTGGACCCCTTGAGTTGGCTCGGATTTATTTGTAAACCCTAGAGGAGGAATCCTGCTGCCCCCAAATCTCATTTCTGTCGCTAGGTTCAGGCTTTCTTTCAGACTTAACCACCTCCACAGCTTCCCTCCTTGAAAATGGTCACTAGTCTGCTAAGATTTTGGACGGATGGCCTTTCTCATTCTGTTGCTAGATAGATTCAGGTTTTTACAAGAGTTAACCTTGTCTTCTTCCACGCTTGAAACAAATGTCCATGCTCGCCTCTCTGAGGTCAAACTATTTCACACGCAATAACTAGTAGTAGTATATTGTTCCCAGATAATAATTGTAATGCTTTTGTTAGCTCTGTCTGTCTCAAGTTATTTTCTCATTACCCTCTCGGTGCCTGTCAATGCTCTCTCTGAACCAGGTGAATGCGTCCTGTTCGTCAACGCCGGCGGCTGCGCCATCCAAGGCGACGACCCCTCTGCAAACTTGTTTTCCAGCGACTCTTTCTTTCAAGGAGGGGAGTCGATAGAGACATCCGAGAGCATAGTTGAAGGCGGCGACTATCCCTCGCTCTACAGCTCGGCACGCTACGGCGATTTCAGCTACAGATTCGACGGCCTTGCCCCTGGAGACTATTACCTGGATCTGCATTTCGCGGAGATAGTGCACACTGCCGGGCCAACAGGAATCAGATCTTTTGATGTCCTCGTGCAACAAGACATGGCAAGCTCACTCACTTGTTTCTCTCATAAATTTCGTTGCATGCTTTCCTTATCCACGTCTGGTGGCTCAAACAGTTTGCCTTTTTGTTCACAGATTTTGTCTGGACTTGATGTGTTCAAGGTGGTCGGAGGTAACAGGCCCCTTCAGGTGCTTGACGTCAGGGCTTTTGTTGGGAGCAATGGTGCTATCACCATCGACTTCAAGGGAGTAAGAGGAAACCCCATGGTTTGTGGCATCTGCATTCGCAAAGCCCCAGCAACACCAGGTAGCTGGTTTATTTATTTTAGATGCAAACAGTGTATGTGCTCATTCACGAGCTTGCATTCCTTTCCCGTCGATAAATAATCTTTGCCTTGAACATGCAGCGGCAAAGTTTGGTACCCGTGGGAGTGGCTTATGCAAAAAATGCTTAACTGATGTTGAGATTTCTTCACCTATTCAGGTCAGTTTTTCTCACAAACTGTTTTACCATCCTATCTCATGTATGTAATCCTGATACATGATCAATGTACCCAAATTGCAGAAAAGGACAGCTAAACTGATCTCAAAGTACGAGAAACAGATTGAGGAGCTAACCAGCCAGTGCAACATCAAGTCTGACGAGTGCTCCATGGCGTGGTCTTTAGTAGAATCTACCAATCAAGAACTTGACAAGCTTAAGATGGAGCTTCACCAAAAGCTTGTGCAAACTGATAATTTTGGTAAGTAGTACCAGACTATTGCATTAAGCATCGTCCTATCCTAGTTTTGCTTATATAGGTATATGATGATTGTTCTAATATATAATATAATAACTTGCAGAACAAGTCCTTGACACGCAAACAGACCAACTAAGAAAAGTTTCTCAGAGCTACGAAAATGACAAGAAACTATGGGCTGCTGCCATATCTAACTTGGAGAGCAAAATCAAGGTAATGCTCTGATTTACTGTCTGCAAGATCACAGCAACCACAAGAAATGGTAAATGATTGCAGTGACTGCTGCTAATTATATCTTTGTAATACCCAGGCCATGAAACAAGAGCAAGCACTGTTATCTCTTGAAGCACACGACTGTGCGCACGCGATTCCTGATTTGAGTAAGATGATTGAAGCTGTTCGAGCCTTAGGTAATATCTGACTCTGAAGTGGGATCGTTACACAGCTTTTCAAGTATTTAACAAAGCATTGCAAGTTTTTGGTATTGCAGTTGCACAGTGTGACGATCTGAAAATGAAGTACCATGAGGAGATGGCCAAGAGAAAGAAACTTCATAATATTGTCCAGGAGACAAAAGGTGCCTATTGCCCCCTCTGTATTCAGATGGTTACACTCATTTCCATAATTTGGTCGGGATAATGACTCTGGCTATCTCTTTTATTTCAGGAAACATTAGAGTTTTCTGTAGATGCCGCCCCTTGAGCAAAGATGAGACATCGTCAGGGTACAAATGTGTAGTGGATTTTGATGGAGCAAATGATGGAGACATTGGGATTATGAATGGAGGAACAGCAAAAAAGACATTCAAGTTTGACAGAGTCTACACACCAAAAGATGACCAAGGTATCTCTTGGTACTATGGAGCCTGTATTAGCTTTTTGTTGCCTTTCACAACTGTTCTTACAATGCGAATGTTGCTAATTCTAGTTTACGCTTCCAAGTAGTGTTGGAGTTTACAATCATAAAATTTTCTTTGTTTGTCTAATATACAAGTTGTATCCATGAACAGCTGAGGTTTACGCCGATGCATCTCCACTAGTCACGTCAGTGCTAGATGGATACAATGTATGCATCTTTGCATACGGTCAAACGGGAACCGGGAAGACCTTCACCATGGAAGGGACTGAAAGGAACAGAGGAGTAAACTATAGAACTCTGGAGGAGTTGTTCAAGATTGCTGAGGAGAGAAAAGACACTGTCACGTACAACATATCAGTTAGTGTGCTTGAGGTGTACAATGAACAAATCAGAGACCTCCTTGCAACATCCCCTTCATCTAAGAAGTACAACCACTTTCCTTTAGTACCCTTCATTTTGTTTCACAATAGTTCATCTAAGAAGTACAGCCACTTTCCTATGGCACCCTTCCTTATTTCTTTGTTCACAATAGTACCATGTTGTGGTAACCTGTGTATTTTTGCATATTTAGGTTGGAGATCAAACAAGCAGGTGAAGGATCCCATCATGTGCCCGGCATAGTTGAGGCCAAAGTTGAGGACATAAATGAAGTTTGGGATGTCTTACAAACTGGAAGCAATTCGAGGGCTGTAGGGTCAAACAATGTGAATGAACACAGCAGTCGCTCACACTGGTTGGTCATAATTAACATTATTTTTCATTTCTCCGTGGAGTACCTTCCTTCTTGTGGTAAAAATGGTTTGACCTTTATAATTTGTTTTCAGCATGCTTTGTATCATGGTTAGAGCAAAGAACCTGATAAATGGGGACTGTACAAGAAGTAAGCTCTGGTTGGTAGATCTTGCTGGAAGCGAGCGGTTAGCCAAGACAGACGCGCAAGGTGATCGGCTCAAGGAAGCACAGAATATCAACAGGTCGCTTTCTGCTTTAGGCGACGTCATTTCTGCTCTTGCTTCCAGAAGCAGCCACATTCCTTACAGGTTTGCACTCTGAGTCAGTATCGGGTTTGCACCTATCAGCTCATGTTTTTTCACTGTCTTGATACTTTTCTTGTGTGCAGGAATTCCAAATTGACGCACTTGCTCCAAGACTCTTTAGGTAACTTGATCTGTTTGTTGCTCTGGAACAAATACCATATCAACAATAATACCAAATATTAACCATTTCTGTTCCTCTGCATTCTCTCACTTGGCCACGCGATTAATTTGCTCTTTTCTGTTCTTCTCCACAATTGCGGTAACAGGAGGCGATTCGAAAGCCCTAATGTTTGTGCAAATTAGCCCATCCGACAACGACGCGTCGGAAACCTTGAGTTCGTTGAACTTTGCTAGCCGTGTTCGTGGTATAGAACTGGGCCCAGCAAGGAAGCAGGTCGACACAGCCGAGCTTCAAAAGGTCAAACAGATGGTGAGTGTTGATATTCCTGAAGCTTGTTAGTTCTGTGAATGCTTGAAGCTGAACTGATGGGCATTTCTGCTGGGTGAACCTGTGACAGCTTGAAAGGTCTAAGCAGGAAGCCAAGCTTAAGGAGGAATCTTTGAGAAAGCTGGAAGAGAACTGTCAAAATTTAGAGAGTAAAGCCAAGGGAAAAGAGCAGCTTTACAAAAACTTGCAAGACAAGGTATGCGCAATTGAGGAGGCCAACATTTCAGTTTCAAATATCTTCTGACTGAATCTTGTGTTGATTCTTCTAGACTGCTTTTCTTCACTTGTAAATTGTGGCTGACAGACTTTCTGTGATAACTTGAAGGTGAAGGAGCTTGAAAGCCAACTAGACTCTAAGATGCATTCTCAAATTACGTCGGAAAAGCAGCAGAGTCAGCTTTCTGGAAAACTTACGGAGAAGGAAGAAGCATGTACTGCGCTACAGCACAAGGTAACGTAGGAATTGAAAGTGGTTAATTAATGTCGTTAACAGCTAGTAATTGTTTAAGGAAAGGCAGATAATAATGCTATCCTCTTGCAGATAGTGGAGTTGGAGCGTAAGCTTGGACAGCAGCACCAGTCAGACTCTGAGGTCGCAGCTCTCAAGCAAACGGTACAGAACTCGACTGAATCTTTTACCTGGATAACAATCATCAATGAATGGGCATTATTAACAGCAAGAGACTTGGGTTGATTTGATTATGTGCCTTTTCTTGTTTCAGATTGAGGAGCTGGAACAGCAAAGATCAGCTGCAGAATCAAAGGTTGGTTATTTTCTAGCTGCGCTGCATCTGCACGTATTTGGTTTCTTTGATCATCCATCCTGGTGTAAATTCTGAAACCACCGGACCGGGTAGCTGACACTCGTATATTATTCATCATCATTCCTAAAACTAAAAAATGTGCAGGCAATGGAAATGGGGCAAGAACTCTTGGAAGCACAGAAAACAGAGTCAATGCTCCAGAGCAAGGTGGGTTAGCATTTTCTCAAACAGAGTCAATACTCTCATTCTTATGTTACATTTGGAGGGCACTAGTTAGTAATGCAGAGCCTGATGTTGTTGTCTCCATGTTATTTCAGCTGCTCGACCTCGAGAAGAAGCTGCAGGAGATGACAAAACTCCAAGGCGCAAGCACGATGGCTGACACAAAGCCTCAAGACACTGGTAGCACGACGATGCCTGACACAAAGCCTCAAGACACTGGTAGCACGACGGTGCCTGAACCCTCGAACAATAATCCAATCACAAGGGTTCTTCCTGCGACCCCTGTGGAGACAGGCGTGGCGCCGGCTTGTTGCGCGAGGGAGGAGGCGATGAGCGAGAAGGCGCAGCAGCAGCACCGCCGCATCCTGAGGAGCTCCGACTCGGCCAACAAGCGGGTCCCGAGCTCCCTGTTCGCCCCGGAGGCGGCTGTCGTGAACGAGAGGAAGAGGAAAGGGGATGACAGCCACCCTCCTGGCGGTGCCGGTGGCAGGCAGAACGCCGGGCGGAAGAGGAGCAGCATGCAGGGTGAGGTGGAGAACCACGTCCCTGGTGCGGCCGCGGTGGCGAGGAAGAGGAGCCTGCAGGGCGGCGAGGTGAGGTCGAAGAGGGCGTCGATCCCGGCGCGGCCTTCGACGGCGACGGCGGCAAGCGCTGCTGCTGCTGCTGCGCAGAGGGTGGTGGTGGCTCCTGGTTCCAGGGTGACGAGGCAGCAGCAGCAGGCGGCGGTGGGGAGCAGCAACAAGACCAAGGGGTGGGTGAGGTGAGGTAGGCTGCTCTGCGTTTAGGTGTGTGTCTGTGTTGTAGTAGATGAGATGAGATGAGACGAGATGAGACGAGACGGGACGCCATTGCATTTGCATTGCTGTAGTAGGGAGGGGTTTCGTTGCTGTACTGTACTGTATTTGTACTACTTTATACGTACTTGGTAGAGTAAGAAGAAGATGGATTGGAGGCTCAAGTTCTTGAGCCTACAACTATAACACTTAGAGTCGCAGTGAATGGATCAATCACAGCCTGTGCGTTGTTGTTATTGTAATAATCAGTAGCCTGTGCACTCACTGACTGTTACTGTGACATTACATTACATTACACTAGACTAGATAGATGCTACATACAGACTATTTCGCTTGGTAACAGCAACTAACTAGATCATTGATGGCGCGTTGCCGCGCCCATCCATTTCAAATGTTGTTTGATAGTGTTAGAAAATTATGTAGAACATGGGGTTCCTAATTATTTTGAAATGAGTGCAAAATAGAAGTTCCATTGAGTCTCCTTTGGCATGATCATGGCATGGACCCCAGTATAAACATTAGTGGTGGGCATTTTCTCATTCATCTATCCAATAGAATGGCATTGCCCAAGAAGCAAAATTAAATCCACATCACAGTTACAGGAAGACAACTTCATGGCATTGCCCTTGGCAGATTTGTGACGAAAATATATAGTTTTGCATGCAGATAAAACTAATGAATATATATATATATATATATATATATATATATATATATATATATATATATATATATATATATATATATAGTTGAAGATTTGTCTAAGTGAATACAAGCATCAGGAAAAATTAATCTTCCTTCAAGAGTAACTACCATAGGAGAGGCATTAGAAATGTATCAGAATAGTAGCATGTAGACCAACAGGGAATGCTAGTGTGGTCTCAAAAGATTATCCTAGTTCCACGGTACCTCCAACAAATCATGACTATACCTGTGTTGTGATGTGCAACAAATTTTGCCAACACAGAATATAGCAGTTCATCAAGAATAAATGAAACTTGATGCATGCAGATATAGTTGACAAAGATTAAAAATACCATTGGTATGAAGGAGATGGGACAAAAAACACTCCGTAAAAAGTTAGAACTATACAATACATCAGCGACACCAGTTAATTGTTTTCCCAGTAAAAGCACAAACAAAGGTGACAGTAGCATCTCTATTCCTGCATCCGCAAGCTGAAGTGCTCCTTGTGTAATGCAGCTCACTATGCTTGAAAATGTCATTATCATTCAAAAAATTGACAACGGTCTATAAAGCTACTTCTACAATAAATCAGACATCTCCATGAATGCAAACCTCGGTTCACCACATATTCTGCAACATAGAACCTTAAAGAAAAAAGAGGACACATATATTCCATCAACTAATAATACAGAGAATTGCATTACATGGCTGTTTCGGATTTACTGAAAACATTTCCACAATGTAAATTATTGTTTCTCATAAATGAATAAAGAAACCATTTCCCCATTACACACAAAGCGAAGAAGTACGAAGCAGTTTTGACCCAAAAACAAAATAAAGATTGAACTACTGATATGGCAAGAAATATAGCAATGGATATCAAGTACACAAACCACAAATGGAACATTAGGTTTCGTATTGTTCAAAGTACATAACATTAGGTGTCAAGAAATTTTATGATGACAATCCCTTTTCTTACAAAACATACTCTGCCTTTATCGCTTGAAAGTTTGAAACAAGGCCAAGATGCATAAACCATAACTGAAACATAAATTGTACTTGGGCAATTCTAGCTATAGGTTTTATTTAATGATAGTAGTAAGAAACGAATATACACAGGAACATAGTGTCTAGGGAGACTTGAGGAGGTAATCATTTAAAAAAAAATGGACATTGCTTTCAACTAAGCGCAGTCACATATCTACTACTGTTCATTTTGTTCACACATATTCTGTGTGGAACACATATATTATCATTGCCGGTGTAGGTGATATGTGAAGGCATATGTAGCACATCCCACCCTGTCCACCCTCTAGCTCCGCCACTGCATGAAGCATCCTCTCTAGTGAAAATAGCATAAGTAGCCACCATAAAAGAAATTAACGCGTTATGGCAGGAAATTCAAGGTCCTGACCATTATTAGTAATTTCATGGCAATTGATGATTCATTACAGATGCACTGGTAGCTATTCCACAATTAATAATTATCGAAAATTATTAGTAATAGAAAAGATTGAGAATGACAAACCAGATCCACCATTTGTCTTATTTATAATTTAGTAATGTTGGTGCCAAGCTTAAGTAAACAGACCCTAATCTCTTCAAGGGTAAATGTCCCGATGTGGTCAGTATATAGGCATATGTATACTTCCATTAGCCCATGGTTTATTTCTTTGACAAGATCTCTAGAATAATATTTGATTATGCAGAGGAAATGAGAAGATACTGCGGTCAAGCAAAAAGAAAAAAGAGCCACAAGTTAAGATCATCCGAGTACCTTCAAGGCTGCCCTTGCTAATTAAAATTCCAGAAGACCATTGGCACGTCCTTCGCAAAATAAAGTAAATGAAATGAATATCAGAATCTCAGGGACACCATAACATAAACTGGAATACAAAGGAGAAATAACAAATTGAAGGAAAAAAAGAAGAGTGTACCTGTAAGTCTGTAACCAAAGACAAAACATATTGTTCCGGCTCCAAATCTGAAACACTACACGGAAGTAAACACCATACATCTGTTACAGAAGATATACATTATCGGTATGTCTCTTCTTTTGGTTCTGATTACCTGGCCATGCAAAAATATTGTTCTGGCTTAAACATCACACGTCTGTTACAGAAGATACACATTATCTGTATGTCTCTTCTTTTGGTTCTGACCACCCGGCAATCAAAAATCAAATAAACAGATCAGAAAGCTCCAAGATCTACCGAAATGAGTTGACAACAGCCAACATGAACATCATCTGTATGTATTTTTTTTCGGAATAAGAGGGCATCAGCCATCAGGACAAGGCAATTGCTTGGTGGAAGAGTGAATCATACATGAATTGAAAAGAAATATAGGAAAACCTATCCAAGCATCATGGTGAAGGAGGTTCTGCTGCTGGGGTTGAAAGGTTGAGCGAAGAGTTGTAGTGGAGGAAGCATATATACACACGTACCATCATCCGCCATGAATGTCAGAACAGAAACTGAAGAATGACCACATCTTGAAATCTCGATGGAGCAGTTCTGATCAGACGAAGCATCGGCATGAATCGCCTGCGTCGGTTGGATCCTCTCCCTCCTTTCTCCATTATGTAGCAGACTAATCGCCTGTGTCGGCTGGATCGACTGATCCCCTCGTTGCCCGCGGCGGCTTGATAGACTGTCATCTCTCTCTCGCCTGGATCGATCTGGTTGTATAGTGACCTGGGGCCGATGGAGATTAGCCTAATGGGCAGCGATCGAATTGTTTTCTTTGCCCCATCCGTCCAATGCACTCCGAGGCCATGTCAGGCGGCGTAG